TTTTGCTTCGAATGCCTTCAGGGCAGGTTTGGCAGGCTTGAGTTGTGGGGATCGAACCACAGCAACCTGAGCCTGACTGCTTTGTTGAAGCATCCGCTTAAATAACTGAGCTAAGGGGCAGGCCCCCTTTTCCCACCTCTTGCCGTCACCTCTTTTTCTGCTCTCTCAGGGGAGCTGTGCAGCTGATCTGTACCGACACCCACAGCTTGACGCAGACATCGAAGCCGTGAAGGAGGTCTACAGTGAGAACTCTGTGTCCATCAGGTGGGATTCCACTCCAGGCACAGCAGGGGAGCCTGCCTCGTCTTTCTGTGTTATTAAAGTACTAGGCATTTTTCCTTTTTATGGGGTGTTGGGGGGTAAATGAGGAAGTTAATGATAGAAGTTGCTTGGCATGGACGTTCCCTGTTATCCTAAACCCTTGTATGCCAACAATTTCACCTTCAAGGTAAGAGGCCCTCTGCCCCAAGGGGGCCCTGATCATGAGGGGTTTGGGCTTGGACCTGGGACCCTAAACACAGAACCACCTTCCACTCTTCCCTCTCCCTGTCGCCAGGCTCCGTTCTCCCTCTGTCCTTAGTCTCTGTGCCTGCCTTTGTGCCTCACTGAGGCTCATCTGTGTTGCCTCTATCTCTGTAGAGAATATGGAACTATCGACGACGTGGACATTGACCTCCACATCAACATCAGCTTCCTCGATGTGAGTGGTGCTAGCAGCTGCCAACAGCATGTCTGTGTGGCCTTGTGGGTTGTCATGTAGGCCGGGAGTACTGTTTGGAGATGTATTCATCTCTGTCTTTCCTAGACTATCAGCAGACAGTGGTGTGTGCAGGACAGTGCGTGAGTGTGTCACGGGGGAACTTCAAGTCCATTCTTTGTTGTAAACTGGAAACTCTTTCCTTCGTTCTTTTAGGAGGAAGTATCTACAGCCTGGAAGGTCCTCCGGACAGAACCTATTGTGTTAAGGCTGAGATTTTCTCTCTCCCAGTACCTTGATGGACCAGGTAAAGCTGGAACTTCAGGCAAGCGGGTACTCTTGAGTATGGTCTTAATTGTGAAAAGTAGGGGCCAGCGATACAGCTCAGGGTGTAGTGCCTGCCTGGCAGGTGAGGAAAAAGATCAAGAAGTAGGAATAAGGTCCCGGTGGGTGGGGGATACAGCTTGGAGGCATAAGCGCCTGCCTGGAATAAGTGCCTTGCTCTCGGCCATCTACAGGCTGCTGGTAGAGGTGCTTTCAGTTTTCTGTGTTTTTTTTTCTCAGAACTGGGGATTGAACTCAGGCCCTTGTGCTTGCTAGGCAAGCGCTTATTCTACTGAGCCATCTCCCCAGCCCCAGTTTTCTGTGTTTTTGTCTTCACTCACCTGATAGCTATCCCCTAAAGGCCTTCTTGGTTAATCAAATTGTTTTCTCTGGTTCTGAATAAATCAGTTATATCCCCTCCCTCAGCTTCCTATTGAGGATTTTGAAATTGATTAGACATTTCAGAATCCACCTTCCGCCTCAGAAGATTTTCCCCCACTACCATTACTGTTCAGTATCCAGCTGATACAGCTTTAAGAATTGAAGGCAGTGATTCCAGTAGACCATTATTTTGGGTTTGTGGGTTTTTTTTTGGGGGGGGGGCAGGACCGGGGTTGAACTCCAGCTATTGCGCTTGCCAGGCAAGCGCTTATTCTACTGAGCCATCTCCTCGGCCCCTTAGACCATTGTTTTGGACATGCAGGAGGATAGGGATATGTCTATGCAAATAATTTTTTCTTTTCTTTACAGAACCATCAATTGAGGTTTTCCAGCCATCGAATAAGGAAGGGTTTGGACTGGGTCTTCAATTGAAAAAGTAAGAACTTTGATTTTTCTGATCTTGGACCTGTGAGGGAAAGAGAGATGGTTGCATGTGTTAATCAGCTTTGCGTTACAATACAGAAAATACTTGAGATCTTCGTCTTAAAAGGAGGGAAGGTCTTTGTGGCTCACCGTTTCAGAGGTTTTAGTTCCTGGTCATGTGCCCTGGTGTTTGGGCTGTGGCAGCACTGCCATCATGGCAGCAGCACGTGGTGGAAGAAGTGTTTCCTTTGTGGATCTTGGGAAGCAAAAAAAAAAAAAAAAAAGTGAAAAGAAAGGGAGAGGCTGGAGTCTCCTTCAGGTCCATACCCCCTGTGACTTCCTCCTTTAAGCAAGGGTGCTTTGACCTCCCAGTATCCCTGCAGATGGGGACCAGACCTTCATAGATGGGCGATCTTCAGGACCCAGGCTATAGCAGGGCATGTGGATGGACAGATTGAGCCTTGAATGGAGTGTTTCCTTCCAAAGCTGTCACGGTGAAGCAGTTGATAAGGATGTAGATGAACAGCATAGAATAATGATTGAACCAATCAAGGACGAGGGAAAGGACGGATGAGTCCGGTTAGGAGTTAGAAGCCATAAATCGAGGAAAGAAATTTTTCTCCCAACAGTGTTAGTACTTGTCTTGTCTTTTTCTTCTCTAGTCCCAAAGCAGCGTGTGATACTCATCTTCATCCCACCACCTCTGCTCTCCTCAGTGTAGTCATCCCTCACAGTAAAGACAGACCCTGACTTAGAAATGAGTTCGGTTCCAGGATAGTTGTTCATAAGTTGGATTCTATCGTAGGCTGACATGTGAGTCTACATGATCCACCTGTGGAAGCTCTCAACTCCAGTGTTCATCAGTCGGGGGCCTAACTTTGTCAGACTCTGTAGCTTTTAAAGCCTTACTATGAGGTCTGCCTTTAAGGGCGAAGTATGTCAGAATTGTTCAGGCTGTTGGCAAGGTAATGAGAGTGTGTGTTTCCTTCCTGTGATATAAAAGGCACTTTAGGATGGTCCATTTCTGTCTGACCAGGTCTAACCAGGGAAGTATGCAGACACACTCCCCCATAATTAGCTTTGTTGTTCTTGGGTCTGAGTTTTAGGTTAGTTGCTTCTCTTGGTCCTTATTTCTTGGCCTCCTCCTCTGCCTGATGGTGTCTACGCCTGTTTTATGTGATCCCTCAGGATCCTGGGTATGTTCACATCCCAACAATGGAAACACCTAAGCAACGATTTCTTGAAGACCCAGCAGGAAAAGCGGCACAGTTGGTTCAAGGCAAGTGGTACCATCAAGAAGTTTCGAGCTGGCCTCAGCATCTTCTCACCCATCCCCAAGTAAGTGCTTCTCGAGAGCCAGTCTTTTCTATTCAGCTCAGTTTTGCCACAACCCCATACCCACCTTCTGGAGTACCTCATTTAATCTCCATCTTTTTCCTGGATCCTTTAAATTCTGTCCTTTGACTATGAACGTCATTCATGTGGTCCTCTCTCCCTTTTGTGTCCTCCTTCTCCTGACTGACTGTTCACATCTCATCCTTTATGTAAAGCACAATCATGCCTGGCTTGTGTGTGTTGGAGGCAGTTGTGCAGGTCCTCCCACCTTTCGTTTCTTTGGCTCTCATCCTTATTCCCTGTCCTAAGAAGGCAGAGGCAGTCCAGGCACCAACTCCTTGCTTTTGTACAAGAGTACATTGGTTTATTGGGTAGGTTCCAGAAATAAATATTGCTCCATTCTTTGATCACTCTCTAGTACCGTCTGAGCTTCTCCAGCACAGATGAAAACCTAGGTTTGTAGTGTCACAAGCACCATTATTGTCACATAGTTGATGGTCATCTTATGGGTACAGCTCCTTCTCTCCTTCTGCAGTGTTTAGCACTCTGAGTGTTTAGCGCTCAATTCGTTTTTTTTCACAACAAAATAAATGAGACAGACATCCGCCAAGCATATGTTCTGTCATTCAGGACTCCAACCTGAGCCATAACGTGAGCTCAGGGCCAGCCTGAACTGCAAGACTCTATCTCAGAAAAGAACTCCCCCTGCAAAAAAAGAGAAAAAGACGCACATCCTCACCAAGGGATCGTTCCATACCTGGCTTCAATGCCGTAATCACTTAGGCTCTACCATTATCCTCTCTCATTGTCCTAGGCTGGGGAACATTCAGATGGTGATAGAAAAATCAGTGCAGTTACATTGTTTTCTTGACAGTTTAAAGTCTTACAGAACTTAAATCAGTGCAGTTACATTGTTTTCTTGACAGTTTAAAGTCTTACAGAACTTTCCTCTGACTGGAGTTTGTCTTTGACTTAGATTTTAGGCCTAGGACTTACTACGCTAACCTTGAATCGCCTTGTGGACGTGCACTGAATCCCTAATTTCATAGCTTTTTCCTTTTGTTCTCTCTCCCCAGGTCTCCCAGTTTCCCTATCATTCAGGACTCTATGCTAAAGGGCAAACTGGGTGTGCCGGAGCTTCGAGTTGGGCGCCTCATGAACCGTTCCATCTCGTGCACCATGAAGAACCCCAAAGTAGAGGTGTTCGGCTACCCTCCCAGCCCCCAGGCAGGTCTCCTGTGCCCCCAGCACGCGGGCCTCCCTCCCCCAGCACGGACCTCTCCTTTGGTACATGGGCTGGGGAGGGTTTGACTTGGGCACCAGGAGGAGGGAGTGGAAATGTGGGAGCTTAGCTTTCGAGGAGGGGTGGGGGTGGGGGTTGTCTGCCCATTGCAGATCATTCCTGGACATGTGAACTAAGTGGTTAGAATGGAACATGTTTTTTAATATTTGAAAGTGTATTTCTCAGTGTCACTTTTGGGTTTTTTCCGGAACTGGGGATTGGAAAGTGTATTTCTCAACTGACAGGCTTTCTGATAGTAGGCATCAAATCAGAGTCTGGAGATGGGTGTCCTAGAGAAACTCTGATTTCACTAGGTTTTGCCTAGAGCTTGATAGTCAGCTGGTGGGCGAAGCTAGCCCATCCTTTAAGAAGGTTAAGGACAAGTGAGCGCTGGTCCAGAGTCTGACACAGTGTGTGGAAAGCTTCATTCCTGATCTGGGATTCCTTGGGCTGGTTTCAGCTAGGGCTTTGCTAGTTGTGGAGAATCCTAAGTGGTGTGTGGGGGGGGATCTGTTTGGGCCTCGGCTCCGTGGGAGGCTCATGCGGCTTGTCTATGTTCACCAGGTCAGTGGTCACTGCAAGAACATCCCCACCTTGGAGTATGGATTCCTTGTCCAGGTAAGCAAGTCCTTGGCTTCACTCCCAGGCGCCTCCTGTGGTCTGGCCCGACTCGTCCCCTGAGATTGCCCAGCTTCTAACTCACTTTGCTCACAGAACTGTGCTGGGTGCAGAGTGGACAGGAGAGCAGAAAGCACATTCCATTCCTGAGACACTGTAGTGTCAGGAGAGCACGACAGGCCACTTAGGGTCATGGCACATGAGGCACCGTGGGGGTTGAGCATGTGGTGGCCAGACGAGAGTGGGGTTCGTACTCGTCTCCAGACAAGAGTGGGGTCCCGAGCGTCGCTTACCCAAGCTGTCTCAGTTTTCCTCACAGGCTGCTGTCAGTGCTTATCTACTGCTGCTCATTGCTTCTCTTTCCAGCCACTTTATTTCTGTGATAGCCCCTACTGTATTACTTCCGCCCTGCTGTTCCTGCCACCGGCTTCCTCCCTGGTCTGCTCCGTGCTGTCAAGGCTCTGCTGTTGCCTTTTCTGTAAAATCTCTGCCACACTCCAGCTGGACTGGCTGGATGTGACCTCTCCTTCTCTGACCTTGTGTGATTCTTTTTGTTTAGGTAGAACCTATGTGTCACATGCCACGTGGTGTGTTTGTATACATGCCACATCTCCATTTGGAGTTTGCATCTGAGAGCATAAAACATAACCTTTTATGTATTCCATAGTCAAGACCTTCCACAGAACTGAATACGTAGTAAGCATTTAGTAAATCTGCATTAAATGAATTAATTATATTAGCTCAAGAGCTTGTGAAATGGAAACAGCCTGACTTGAGTATCAAATCCCAGTTAAGGTGGTGTCAAAACAACTCTTCTGGATATTGTTGTATGAACGCTGGATTTGTGCCATCTTCCCAGCACAGAATTGTGTCTAGTTTTGACAAGTGTGCTGGCTAATAGTTCTAGGGGCTTTAAGTGTCTCATCCCTGTCTCCCCACCCTATCTGACCTTGGACTGAGTACTGGCCTATCCTGAAGGGATGTTCTGTAATTACTATAGCTGTGGTCATAGTTTGCTTAGCATCTGTTTATATTTATAAAATACCTTTATGACCATAATCTTATTTTTTGCAAAACCTCTAAGGTATAAATCATGTCTTACTTTATAAATGAAGGAGCCAAAGGGTAGTAGAATTGATTTGCCTACAGTTATATTTGGAACTAAATAGTAGAGGTGGAATATTAACCTAGACTTCTTGTTGTTCTGGGTTTTTTGAGACAGGGTCTCACTATACAGTTAAGGCTGTCCTTGACCTCATGTTGTAGCTCAGGCTGGCCTTGAACTTGAAGTGATCCTCTTGCCTCAGTCTCCTGAGTGCTGGGATTAGAGGTGTACACCACCACACTGGCTTTAACCCCAGATTTCTAAGGCAAGGCCATAGCTCCCTTATTTTTCTCATACTATACAGATTGCAGGGGCCGGGGAAATGGCTCAGTGGAATAAGCGCTTCCCTGGCAAGTGCATGGGCCTGAGTTCAATCCCTGGTTCCGCCAAAAAAAAGAAAGAAACAGATTGCATAGCTATTAATTTAAGACATTGATACGGGGCCCAGGAGATAGCTCAGCATCATGAGCATCAGCCTAGCAAATGCAAGGTCCTGAGTCAGGTCCCTGGTACCAAAAAAAAAAAGACATTAATGCACATTATTACATTAATACACACGTTAATTTAATCCTGTACAGGGCTCAAGAGTAATAGATCCTGCCTTAGGCAGGAGGCAAGAAGAAAAGAGGGTAGGTAGAAAAGAAGTTTAAATTATTTCCTGTGCTTCAACAGCAAATACTTCCTATCGGTGTGCTTGTGTTTCAAAAGATACAGAATCTCTGCTTGCTTTGGAAGCACGTATATTAAAATTGGAATAATACAGAGAAGATTTGTATGGCCCTGCACAAGGATGACATGCAAATTCATGAAACATTCCATTTTTTTTGTGCTAGCACCGATTGGAGAAATTGTAATGCCTATATCTTGTACTGTAAATAACTACTTTAAAGATAAGAATATGCAGTGTATTAGCTATTGTTATTTCCCTGTTATTTTA